TCTTGTTCTTTCCTACTTGAGTGCCTCCCACAGCTCTGACAGTTTTATCTGCAAATAGCTGCCATCGGTCTACTTAAGCCAAATCATATCTCGTCTTATTAAAATTTAGCCTCTCCCCAGTCCAGAATTTTTATTCCCCTCACACCATCCTTTTTGATAACTATCCGAATTTAATTGAATTACAGTCACTATCTTTAAAACATTTCCTTACTGTTATGCCTTCCCATTGCCCAGGCTCATTTCCGAATATTCGATCGAGAGCTACCCTCTCCCATCTTTGACTTTTTACATACTGGATAAAAAGCTAGGCACTCAGCTTATCTGGCTTATTCCTCAAGCTACTTGTATTAAAACATATTACATTTAGCCTTACTGACCTCACTAATTTCTTATCCACCCTATGTTTTCTCTGCCTTCCAGACTCCCTCACTTACATTTTCACATCTAATCTCACTTCTGAACTATTTGGCAGGATTGGATTCCCCTGCCAATCTAGTTTAATTCTGCCCAACACATTGGCAAACCTCACTATGAAAATTTTGGTCGCATTTCTGTTCAGGTGTAATTTATCCAACAGGTACAGTTTCCACCTGAGAAACAGTCCCAATATCTCATGACTCTAAAGTCCTACCTCCTGCACCATTTCTCCAGCCATGCATTTATTTGCTGTATGCTTCTACTCCTATACTCACTACTCCTTGGCACTGGAGATTATCTGGAGATTCCAATGTGGAGATCACTACCTTTGGAAATCTCGCCTTTCAACTTCTTAACTAATTCCCTAACTTCTCCTTGCAAGACCTCATATCTCTTTCTTTGTTTGTTATCAGTCCCAACATAGACATCTAGCTGTTCACCTTCCCCCTTCGGAATGCTCCGGTTCATGGCATTCTTGATCTTAGTATCTGGGAAGCAACATGCCATCCTGGAGTCACATCTATAGCTGCAGCGTCTCCACTCTCATTGTTTCTTTTAACCTCACTGGTGCCACTCCAGGGTCCCACACAGCTCCAACACTGTTAGTCTGTTTCTGGCACCTCTTTGCATTCACTACCCTTTAAACCTTGATGCCAGCATTCCCAAATCCCACAAAACTCCATCACAAGTCTGTTTCTGGGACTTCTCTGCTTTGGCTGCTCATTTTAACTTTTAAGGCCCTAAGGTCCTTGGGACTCTTGGTCCTGAAAAGTGCCATGTCTACCTCCAGTTACCCTGGATGGATAAGGTATCTCAAAGGTTTGAGCAATAGTTGAACAGCTGAACAGTTTCACATTGCTACTATGAAGTAGCACCAGAAGTGGCATTGCCACTAACAGGATGTTGCCACTAAGCCAAAAAGACATTCTATTTAGCATCCAAACACGTAGTGTGGTATATGAATATCAGTGCCAGTCTGATGCCGGGTATGAAGCCCATACATCCCAAACAGCAAATACCTTTGAGTGTTTGTAACAAGTGAGATAATGACTGCATCCTACTGCAACAGGGCCCAACATTAGACACGATTCTGCAAACGGACATCAGTTGCTAGATAATCCTGAGTATGCAAAGTGTCATGCTGATAATCAATTTAGGAACAACAGTTGTGAACAGATTGTGGTGCTTTTGTGGATATTGGAGGCTACGTATGTTAATACATAGGGCCCTGTTCTTTTCAGGCAGAAAGACCATGGACATGCATTGCACCTGTTTACACTCAATAAAACAGTTGACAGCTATTTGTTGATTCAATTCTCACGGAAATGCCTGAACCAGAGTTAACCGGCCTGGTTTAACATTTAAGTAGAGTTTGGTAGTTAACTGTCAGTCATCATTAATTCTCCATGGTAATTTCTCTACAAAAAGAGAAAACCACATGCAATCCGATCAGCACTCCCCTCATGCTATTTCAATGTTGGTTTTCCCCTTAAATGCCCCTTCATCATCATGTACCTTTTTTCAACGATATACAGATAAATTCTAACTCATGCTCTACCATGTCAATCTCATAACTGGTTAAACACTGAGGAAAGGAATGTCAGACATGAGTTAAGCTTTCCTCCATTAATATTATGAAATTTAATTTCTAAGTATGCCTACTTAAAGATAAATTACTCACTCAATTTGCTTTGTCATGTGTAAACTTTTTTCAGAAACTGGGAGACTGTAATTTGCTACATAAAGGAGTAAACTTATTCTAATGTTTTGACAAGTACAAAGGTGTTCTTTACCTGCAAACATTTTTAAACTGGATTTTCATCGAGTAAAATGGTTGCTACAGATCATGATTCATGAGTAGGCTACAGTTCTAAAAACTTCCAAGTGGACAAAGCCAAGCCATTGCCCATATGGAATTTCACAGCTATAACCGCACAAATACTGCAAAGACAGCAAAACAATGAAGGTACAGACTTTCCGTCTTTAAACCTCAACTGCTAACATAAGAGACACACTGAAATGTCATTGAAGTTGTGAAGGTGCTAATAGCCACATCTTTCTCCTGAGATGAGCAACAGATCCTTGACTAGAGAGATAGGAACTTGTTATAAAGTTAAAATTGACTCATTAGTGGCGCAGTAACATGACCAAAACTCTTCTAATCTTTGGAATAATTTTAAGTTGCTACATTTCTGAACCCTTGTCTCACTCTAAGAGTCTAATGTGCTGATAATACCACAGTCAGAGTCCAGGCAAACAAGAAGCCTGCCTCAAGTCTTAGATAACAAGGTGTAGAGCTGGATGAACACAGCAGGCCAAGCAGCATCAGAGGAGCAGGAAGGCTGACATTTCGG